GGAAGCAGGTCACTGCAAATGTAATTTTTGAGTGTATGCTAGTAAAGGTAAAGGTTTCCCTTGCTCGAAAGCCAGTCGAATCCAACTCTAGGGATGCGGTGCTCATCTCTGTTTCCAAGCCGAAGAGCCAGCGCTGTCTGAAGATGTTTTCCGTGGTCATGTGGCCAGCATGACTTAGCGTGGAGGCACATGGAATGCTGTTACCTTCCCACTGAAGTGGTACCTATTTATCTACTTGCATTTTCTTGCTCTCTAACTACTAGGTTTGGTGTAGTGCCAGTTTGGTATAGAGCCAGTTTGGTATAGTGCCAGTTTGGTGTAGTGGTTAAGTGCGCAGGCTCTAATCTGGGAGAACCGGGTTTGATTCCCCACTCCTCCACTTGCACCTGGCTGGATGACCTTGGGCAAGCCATAACTCTGGCACAGCTGTTCTTGAAAAAGAGCAGTTTCTGTCAAGAGTTCTCTCAGCCCCACCTACCTCACAGGGTGTCTGTTGTGGGGAGGGGAAGGGAAAGGAGTTTGTAAACCGCTCTGAGACACCTTTGGGTAGTGAAGGGCGGGGTATAAATCCAATCTCTTCTCTTCTTCTCTTCTAGGTTGGCAGGAGCTGGGACCAGAGATGGGAGCTCACTCCGTCATGCAGCACTCGGGTCTCGAACTGCTGAACTACCGACCTTCCGGTCTGCAGTTCAGTGTCTTAACCACTTGAGCCACCACAGCAGAGTGTATGCTACAGCATGCCAAAACCTAATCCAGACTGAATCCACCATACAGTCTCCTCGCTGAGATATCTAGGTCTAGTTCACATAAACAGCAGACAAGGTGGTACAGCAGCTCCTGGTACATCTCATGACTGAGTATTCCATTAAAAAATCCCTGCACATATAAAACTACTGCACAGGGAGAAAGATAGACTAGAACTCTTATCTCTGATAGGCTAATTTGCTTTATGCAGGAAACTGTTTTGTACAGCGGAACATTCAGTCATGCAATTGCCCCCAGGAACAGTTTTACAACCTCATGTGTGATGCAGGTGGTTTTTTTGCTATTAAGCCACAGCCAACATGGCAACCCCCTAGAGTTTTCAAGGCAGGAGATGTTCAGAGGTGGTTTGCCCCTGCCTGCCTCTGTGTAGCAACCCTAGACTTCCTTGGTGGTAACTTGTAACTGACCCAAGGTCACACCAGCAGCTGCATGTGGAGCAGTGGAGAATCAAACCCAGAACTTCCAGATTAGAGTCCACATTCCTAACCACTACACCAAACTTACTAAGAGAAAGCCCCACTGAAGTGAACAGAACATGAAGTATTGGGATGTGGCTCCTCATTTATTTCCAAAGAGAGTCTTGGGCATACCCATGCCATTCCCTTTTCCATTCCATGGGGAGAAAGCAACAAACATTCCTAGGGTTAAAAAAAGCATCTCCTTGACTGCCCAATCTGTCCTAAGAAGAAGGGGGGGACTTTCAATAGTGGGCAGCCAAGACAGATCCACACTTGAGTATCTGCTGGATAAAGGCTCAGCATTAGGGATGTGCATTCAGATATACCTGGTCTAAATATATTTCCAAAAAATGCCTCATTGGTATAATCTGGATATATTCAAATCTCTGCAGGGTATGCAGGACACAGGGAAATGGGCCCTGAAAAATCCCAGAAATATCAGGAGCCAGCACTTTAAGGCTCCCAGGTCTATTTGTCCCTTATATTTCTGGGGTGCCACTGTCTTCCTGGGGCTTGATATTGGCTTGCTGTGTTGGCTTAGCTGTCATTCTACCCTTTTAAATTGGTGTTGTTGGTCTTCCAACATTGAATTCTTTGTGCAAGTTGCTTCGTGTTGGGTTTCGTTTTGTAGTGGATTCTCAGTTTCAACATTGCCTTTGATTCTCAGGTTGTACAATGGCTCAGATTCTCTAATTTGCATTTGTTGAGTGGAGAACAGGGATCCCATTGGTTTTGCTTAGATGATTCTTTGGTTTGGCATTGGGTTGGACTCTCAGGTTGTGCATTTGTTGTGTTAGGCTTGTTGCATTATCCTGTGGTTCTGCTGGGATTCCCTGGTGCTGCATTAGTTCTTTGGGTTTGTTGGTTCTGCCTGCTTTGAGAGTCTGGGCCAGGGTTTACTTTGCTTGCTATTGTGTCTTTGGCTATTCTTTGCCATGGAAAAAGCATGGAATTCCACCCCCTGCCAGCAAGCAATGGAGGATGGCTGTGGGCATCTTGTTCAGGAATTGTTCACTTGGAATTTGTGAATTATTTATAGGACAGGCACAAGCATCGCTGTTGTGATTTTGGTGCAATTTGCTCGAAAAACAGCCCCTCCAGCCCTCCAGAAAGATTCCTCAGAGGGAATAATGGAGTTGAATATCATAATTCCCCCCAAAACTAGATCAGAATACCAAACCAGTATTTGGAAATGAAAAACCAAGAATGCCAATATTTTATAGCTCCCTGATATCTGGATCTGAAAAATACTATTTTTTTCAAGCTTCACATCCCTAGTCAGCATCTCTGAAAATGAAGTCAGTCACTGCTTATGGGCAAATTCAAATTTCAGCCTGAAGGGAACAGGATACAAAAACATCATGGACCACTAAGCTACAGACAAAAGAAAAAAGATAGCAAGTCAGATCAGCTAAGTGGTTGCCAAGTCAAAAGACCCAAGCCTGATCTAAATGCATTTGCAGCCAGGCCAACCCACTGTTTGGGGTTAGAGCCAGACTAGAGCCTAAAGAAGGCAGCACTGTCCACTTTTCTACTCCATTCAGTACAAAAGGCACCACCACATGGGAGCAGTTAAGTTCCTGGCCAGGGAGACATGGCATTCAAATAAACACAGCATAGCCAGATCACTCCTTGCTTTTTCTCCTGGGAACATATGGCCAGAGGGAGGAAGATATGAGAACCCAAGATTGAGATTTCTCTCCAGAAAGTAATGCATGAAGAAAACCTTTGTCAGTGAGTTAAGCTGAAATATTAAATACTTTGAAGGAAGAGAAAATTATTTTTAAAATCTTGCTTTTGCAAAGCCCATCAGAAAGTGACGTCTATGACAGCTCTGGGAATAAAACCCATGCATTAATCATCCCAAGGATGCTGGTGACTTCAGGACAATTTAGCTGAAAGTGTTATTAAAACTGAAGGACGACACATACATTTCCCTCTAATTCCTGGGCATTAACGTTTGGGGGCTGGAGCTCCATGGTCTGGCTACCAGGATATTACAGAAATTGGCCTCTTTCTGTAATCCATATAACAACATGCCCGACAGATTTGGAAAGGGACAATAATTGAGGTCTGCCATATTTTTTTTTAAAACCTTCTGGAGAAAAAAAGTTGAATCTGGCTGCTCTCCCTTGGGTGAAACACCCACTGATTTCAAGGGAAGTTTTGCTTGGTTACTGCTTAACCACATCGGCCTGCCAGACATCCAGGACTGGCCAGAAAATTGTTGGTCAGAAACTAGGTCAGTCTGGGGCATAACGTGGAGCATAGCAAGCTATGACAGGGCATCCCTTCCACTGCCCATTCCACCCACCCTCCCTGAGGCAAGTCTCCTTTGGCAGACCCCAAGTGGCTGCAGCTGGAACCCTGCTCAAGCTGGGGAATCCCCCAGTTGTACCAGCAGAGTGGGGTCCTTCCAGTTGGCTTCCAGGCAGTCCCTGGTGCAACCTTTAGTTCACTTTGGCTGCAGTCACACACACTAAATAATCCACTTTCAGTCCATTTTCAATGCACTTTCTAACTGGATTTTGCCAGTTCACACAGTAAAAATCAGTTCGAAACGGCACTGAAAGTGGATTATTTAGTGTGTGTGACTGCAGCCATTGTGAACTAAAAGCATTATATAAATAAAGTAGCAGCAGTGCCAATACTGTGGCTGAGTTCAGACTGGCAGTTTGAAGCAGGAGGGAGTCGTGGCAAAAAAGAGCCAGAACAAACTGTTCTGGGTTTTCCCATTCACACTGCAGCGACTGATGTGGGAGCAAGAGGAGCATACCAGGAGAAGGCGCAAGGGAGCGTTCACACTGTTGGCCTGGAGGCACGGCTGTAAGGCGCGGCTTTCTTTTTTTGTGATCTGGAGATATGTGCTCATGAGCTTATGTGCATGAGCGCATAAGAAAAATGCGACTTTTGGCGTTCACATTTTGTTGGTGCGAGATGGATGCAGGATAATTGTGCTTTCCAGGGTTTGCTACCACTTTTACCAGGTATCTTTTAAACTCGGGAGCGAAGCGTTACCAGACGGGTTGAGTACGTGTGGGGAATGTCTGACAGATGTGCCTGTGTGGATGGCCCATTTAATCCGTTTGTGGAACGTTTCTGAAATGCGCATATATCGGAGCAAACTGCCAGTCTGGCCTATGATTAGGTAGAACAGTACCAAAATGAGTATTCACTGAGGGATAGTGGCTCTTTGCAAATTTTATGTCCCTATTCCATGTCACTGTCCAGGACGTCCTGGGCATTTTATTCTGTGTATCTGTACTTTTGTATCCTTCTCCAAGTGCCCTTGGCATGCACATCTCCCCCTACAGTCCTTTGGTTTCCTTAAACAGCTGTTATTTCTTGGCACCCTTTCACTGCTAAATTCATACCTGTCTTCATCTAGATTATCCAAACCATTAGGGACGTGTTACCTTGATCCAGATGCTCTCCAACTCTTGTTGGCTTTCCCCCAGGAGTTCATTTAAAAGCTGCTCTGCAACCTCTTTCACTGTAAGCTCCAGCAGCCTGATTCCATTTCAGTTCAAACAGATCCCCTTTCTTTTGTACAGGGTCAGCATGTCCCAAAACAGTCCCCAGTGTCTAACAACACAGATGTCCTGCTTATCCTTCATGGAAACACACATTCAGGAAATAAAGCCAGACCTTGAAAACCTACCATAGGAGGCCTCTCAGTTATTCATGAGGAAGAATCAGTGTGGAACTTTACAGCAGATGGTTTAACCACTTGGGCATGGTTAAAGTGAGAGGTAGACATTTAAGCAAATAACTTACACAGTGTGTGCTGGAGATGATGACAGAGCTTGAGATGAAACTGAGGCCATCGTTCATGCTGACCTGAAGAGCAGCTTGCCTGCAAAGATGGAAGGCATTAAAAGCTGCTTCCCAAGATGGGGCTAGACCCACAACCTCCCTTTATAATATGCATGCTACTGCATTGTGGCAAGTGAATCAATCATTCTCTTTCTGTGCTTTTATATAGCTCAATGAAAGACCTAGGATGGCTTGAGGTTGCTATCTCTAAGATATACACTATTTGTTGGGGTGGGGTTCGGGAGGGTCATTTCAGCCTGTGAAGGAACAAACATGTCCTTCTGGATACTGAGGAGGAGGAAAAGGATCTTAAAGGGCATGCTTTCGGGGAATTGATGGTGTCTGTCTGGATGTTGGTTTGCTTTCCCATGATCAATGCATTTGTAGATAAAACCATTATTACAAAAACTAGCAGTAAAGCCCGTTGTGAAAGCAATACAACGAGATCTAGAAAGATGTGATTTGTAACGAATGCATAGGCTGGAAGGAGGTAAAGTACCTCCTGGAGATTTGGGGGGTGGATTCTGTAGAGAGCAGCATTGGGCAGGGGGGGGGGCGGAAGGACTCAGCAGGTATAATGTCATAGGGTCTACCCTCCAAAGCAGCCATGTTCTCCAGGGGAACTGATCTCTGTCATCTGGAGATCAATTGTAACAGCGGGAGATCTCCAGGTCCCATCTGGAGATTGGCAACCCTAGGGGAAAGTCAGCTGCACAGCAGGGAGTTGAAGAGAATGGATTGATGGCTGCTGGGCCAAGATTGGCAACAATAGTTCCCCAGGAGCAAATGGCTGGTTTGGAGGGTGGAGTCTATGGCGCTGTACCTGTCTGAGGTCCCTCTCTCCGGGCTCCACTCCTCATATCTCCAGGAATTTCCATACCTTAAGCTGGCAACTTTATCTCCTCCCCTCTCAGCAGCCTCTTTCTAGGCAAAATTCTGTCTTTCTCATTAG